CTTGTAATGGTATCATTTGCATCTTAGGACCCCTAAAAAAAATACAATTAGAATGTATGCAATAATCCGCAATTACAGAGGGTTATAGCACACATAAGATATAAGGCCTCACCAAGAGAGATAAACCCAATAATAAAGCTCTTACATACATCAGACACAAAATACCTGAAAAAGTATATCACACCCCTATAACCCGTCCAAAAGCATTAAGTATAACATACCAATATACAGTAATATTTTAAAATATCAAAACATATGCTGCCCCGCAACACACTCTCCTAAAAATAAGCTCACTATAAGCACACAAATATTATTCAAATTTACAGTATACTGTATAATTAGTAAAATAAATACAAAATTGGAAACATGAATTTCCATAGCCTGGTACAAGTGATTCAGGGAGACTGCATAAAAACATAATACATGATATACACATAACTATACGATCTTATTTAACCAATTAAGCACCAGCGCTCTCCCCTTTACGAGTAGAATAGGCGTTCGACAGAGTAGAGTAATAAAATTCAAAATCATTTTGTTCGAAATATGAGGAAAAGCTATATATATATTTCGTATTGGATAAGTGACACCGAATCCTGCCAAAGCCTTATTGATCTCAGGTATGAAATGTTACTGTTTATATCATATAATTATAACGTCCATCGACACTATTTACGCATTTTATCTTGTGGCTGTTGGCCAGTTCAGTTGTGGCTGCTAAAATTTGAATTTTGCGCGCGCGAGAATATTTATATTGAATTATTTCATTTCAATGCCGTCAAATATTAGTCAAAATCAACAATTCAAATTTTGAATAAACACATTATAGTAAATACTGGGTTGCACTTGTTTGACAAAACTCGATAAAGCATGTTTGAACCCACATGGGCACATGGTATATTAAACAATAGGGCCATTTATACGAGCAAAAATATTTAAAAACGCGGCCTATAAAATAAGCCGCGGCTTACATAAGTCGTGAACGACTCATATAAACAGTTGCAATAAGCCGCGGCTAATTTAGGCCTAGCTTTCAAGCCTGGGCTTGTTTTAACTATAACTATAAACATGGGCAGATAGGCTAGTTAACACATTAAGCGCCAGCGCTCTCCCCTTTATGAGTAAAATTGCCTTGCGTTAGGCAGAGTAAAATAATAAATACTTAGCGCGCATCAGGGCGCAATGCCACTCTGTCAAATCTGCCATGCTCAATATAATCATAGATTCGAGTATTAATTTACACCCATTTTCAAAATTACGCGACCTCCCTGAAAAATACCCTTACTTCAAATGTCAGTTTTATGTCACAAAAACTGCTAAAAATAGCAAACGTAAACAAACTGTCAAAAGACATTTTAAACCGTATTTAATACCAAACCTGAACAAAAATGAGTTAGATAACTTAGATATACAAACTAAAGCACAATACAAACCATCACTACAGAAATATGGGTCGTGAATAACTTTTAAAGTTTGAAAAATAACAATTTATCCTGGAATTTAGCTGTCAGTATAAAACACGCGCGCTAGACTATAACGGTGATGTTATGATTTTGTTTGTGCTTAAATTTTGCAATAATTTTCACTAAAATATCTTGAAAGTCATTGTAAGCCTGTTTATATAAAGCATACAAAGCATATATACATCGACAAGGAACCGCAATACTCAAAGTTTAAACTTCGTGACCGAATGACATAAAACTGACATGTCAACTCCAGCATTTTCGTCCTTGGTCGCGTAATTTTGAAAACGGGTGTAATAATTTGACATGCAAGTCAGAAATCCTGTATACAACAACAATATCAATATAGAGTATTAGTCAATCAGTCACAAAATTGTCAATCGTGTATTTATATTCTCGGCCTAAAAGCTAAATCCTAGATTGGTGTTTAGTTTGGCTTTTGCTGCTACTGAAACGACTTTTATATAATTATGTGATTACAGCTCGGATTACAGTGGGTTCTGCATAAGATTTTCTCTGGATTCGATGTTTCATTATTTAGTATCGAGTAAAATCAACAAATAATTATGGATCAAACGAAGATGAGAGTATTTTAATTAAGTTGAAACAGAGTTGGAACACTCATCAAAGCTTTAATAATATTTTGTTAATCTGGAACTTGAAATGTCCTTTGTGTATTTATAAGCAATTCATGCATGACTTTCATCCTCATTTGACCGAGGCTATAATCTAAAATATCGGTCTAAAAACTTACATTATCAAATGAACCAGTGTTGCCAGTATATGCCTGATTCAGAAGATGATTCTTGATTGGGCAAAGTTAAACTAGACTGGGCTACTAGCAAGTGATATGTCGCAGGATTCGAGCTAGGAGTGAACTGGATATTTCAATGTTGTTAGACTTGCTCCAAGTCTCTCTTTGTGGACATCAATATCACAGAATAGGAAGTTATAGCAGAAGCATAACTCTGTTCGTTTCCCCTATTGTTTGGCGTCCACGAAAATTTTAACTCGCTCACGCCAATCCACGTCATCCTGGCTAGTACAACCGGATGCTTTTATCAGGTTTTGGTAGGTACAAAGTGCCGGTTGTACTAGCCAGGATGGCGTGATTGATGACGAATCGCTTGTAAAAACGCGGACAAATACTTGCTTGAGTTACGCTTCTGCTATACCTTCCTATTCTGTGTCTATATATTGTACATTTATATTGTACGTTACATGACGTACCGCTGAGGGGGGAGAGGAGGAAAGAGTGACTTGTAACATCTGGCAGCAGACATACTTCCGGCTGGTCAATTTCGACCAGCCGGAAGTAGATGGCCGCATTGACTTATCACGTGTTTAGGGGGGGGAAGGCGACATCTGGACTTTCAGAGTTATTTGTTAAACATAAGTAATTTTGTATTCACGAGATTTCTTGTAGATTTCACAGCACTTTTGACTGCGTGCATTTGGAATTTTGGGCATTATTTTTGCAATATATTGTAAACAACGATTATAAGAAGAACGGATAATTTACAAATCAGCCGTAATCGTCATAAACCTCGATGACCACCAGTGTTTTTGTGTTTGACAATTTGTATTTCATTAGATATTTATATGCAAGGTCAGTATAAACGGGTTATCATATAAAATGATCATTCTAATGAATGAATTGATAAAACGAATTATTTCTAATATGTACGGCCGCGTTTTTTACACGCCCACTACTGAAACGTTTAGCTTGATTGTTGAATAAATCGATGACTTGCTTAGTTGCTTTCTGTTTTGAGCTTAACCACCGTTTAAGCTAAACGGGCTTGATACAACTGGCCCCAGACTCGGCCCCAGAGAAACATTTTTGTATTATCGAGATCGAAACTATAGTAAATTGGAAACCGTGTCAATAATAAAAAACGTACAATGAACTTATGAACATGCGAAAATTGTCACGCCCAAAATTTATACAAATGTTTATTTTGTTAAAAATTTGCCTAAATTTTGGGCGTGACAATTTTCGCATGTTCATAAGTTCATTGTACGTTTTTTATTATTGACACGGTTTCCAATTTACTATAGTTTCGATCTGCGGCCGTACATATTAGAAATAATTCGTTTTATCAATTCATTCATTAGAATGATCATTTTATATGATAACCCGTTTATACTGACCTTGCATATAAATATCTAATGAAATACAAATTGTCAAACACAAAAACACTGGTGGTCATCGAGGTTTATGACGATTATGGCTGATTTGTAATTTATCCGTTCTTCTTATAATCGTTGTTTACAATAAATTGCAAAAATAATGCCCAAAATTCCAAATGCACGCAGTCAAAAGTGATGTGAAATCTACAAGAACTCTCGTGAATACAAAATTACTTATGTTAAACAAATAAGTCCAGATGTCGCCTTCCCCCCCTAAACACATGATAAGTCAATGCGGCCATCTACTTCCGGCTGGTCGAAATTGACCAGCCGGAAGTATGTCTGCTGCCAGATGTTACAAGTCTCTCTTTCCTCCTCTCCCCCTCAGCGGTACGTCATGTAACGTACAATATAGTGGGTCTCCACAAAGAGAGACTTGGAGCAAGGCTAATGCCAACACCACTTCACGTCAACTCGAGCCTGCTGACGCGTGCGAATTTGTGATAGGCCGCGCGCGGTGATGGCGTATAAGGGGACTGAAACTGATAGATAGATAGATAGATAGATAGATAGATAGATAGATAGATAGATAGATAGATAGATAGATAGATAGATAGATAGATAGATAGATAGAAACTTTTATTTAAACACGCTAACCATTGTCAACCTAGGCTGATTTCCACAAGGGGCGTGTACAACAATAAAATTACAAAGATATAGTATATAGTAAGATATTATTATAAGTAATAACATGACTAGAGGGAAATTAGCGATTAAATTTCCCGACGCCGAGGGAAGATTTGTGAAAGGCCGAGGGCGAAGCCCGAGGACTTTCACAAATCTTCCCGAGACGAAGGGAAATTTAATCGCTAATTTCCCGACTAGTCATGTTATTAGTTTGTAATATTATGATCGCCGAGGAAATCTCAAAAAAGTTTGCTGCAGAGATAAATTTAGCTGTTTGATTTTGTATTTTTCAATGAAGTTGTTTATGAGTTTGACTATTGATTGAAATAAGTGTACCTTTGGGACATGCTTTGTTGTTGTGAGACTTATGTAAATCACTGCATTGATTTTAAACTTAGTTTTCGAATATGGCTGCAACTGGAAGGTTCTATTTTGTGTCAGACCGGACAGTTGAAAATGTTCGAAAAAATAGAGTGCCAAAGAATACCATAAGGCACACTACGTGGAGTACAAATGTGTACAACGCGTGGGTTAAAGAGAGGAACGAGCAGTTTAAAGATTTTCAGGCAGAAAGAAACGAATTTCAGAGGATCTATAAATCTAAGTGGTTTGCTTCAAGGAGCCACTGCTAGTCACGTAAATATAAACATAAATATAAACGGACGTCGACAGCATGAATTTTACAGTTGGTCTTGAGTTGGAGTTTGACGTTTAACTGTTTAGCAAAGTCATACTTGTGTACATTTAAAATTTAATATGTTGAATAAAATTGTTGAGTGTTTTAGGTTTTCCGTTTGCATTAAATATGGAAGCGGGAAATTTAGTAAAAGACAAAGGATTTCTTTGTCTACTAATCATCCCGTGCATTTTTGATGAGGGAAGATTAGTAGACAAAGAAATCTTTTGTTTTTTACTAAATTTCCCGGGGAAATTTAGTAGACAAAGCGAAATATTCCCTGTTGCATGCGTAATGAGGAAAATACGGGATTTAAATTCCCTATGAGAACAATAGAAAACGAGGCGATCATGATATTACATACAGTAAGAAATATATATAAGTATAAGTATAAGAATAATAATGCTATTCAAGAATGTGAGTATTCAAAAATGTGAGTAGCGATTTTAGTTTCAAAGGACATGATGGAGTTGCTCTCTCTAATTTCGGTTGGTAAAGAATTCCAAATGTGTGCCCCGTCAAACATGAAACTTTTTTTCAAGCTATTTGTACGCGGCTGTGGTAAGCAAAGAGTACTTTCAACATCTCGAAGTTTATAATTTGTCATTTCACTTTTGAAAGTAAATAAATCAGTAAGTGATTTAGGACCCATTTTATTCAACAATTTAAACATCAGTTTGAACTTAGCCTTTATTCTTTCCGTTTTAAGTGGCTTCCAGTCTAAAGCATCTAAAGCAACCAGATGATCTACATCATTGCTCATATTCATTATGATTCGAGCAGCTCTGTTTTGGAGCTTTTG